CACCTAGAACATAGATGAACAAGAGCTTTGAGAGCTTTGTGCTTTGTGTATAGGAAATTGCGGTAATAACCATTGTATACGGATAAAGGGGGTAGAGGAACAATGGTATGAACGTTATTGTTAGACGATCGTCTTAAGTTCTTTGTTTCCAAGACCTGCAATATGACTTTCCCTCAGAAAGACAAGACTATTATTGGACGGAATGTCCATCGGGTGTGTCGAGCAAATAATACAGCAAAGTGAGGAGGTATAGACGGTGCTATATGCTCTGCCAGTGTAATGCTTCTCTGGAGAGAAGGAAAATTTCGAAGAAAACGGCGTGTCAAAGTCAGACACAGAGGCTGAAAGATAAAGACTTTACGCGATTGAATAACTAGGAGACGCAGTAGCATAGGATGGTCTACTGCTGCCTTTTGATATCTTCAAGTTCCATTCCATACTATTATGGGAATGGGTGGAGGTCTCCTGAACCCGGAAGGAGAAAGAAAGAGTAAGAGGACACTGGCTCCGAGTCTGGTCGAAAATATATATATTACCTCTCAGGGGCTGCAGCCAGCACGACCTGTGCTCCAGCTGGACCGCTTCAATGGAAACCAGTATGTCCGGTGGCAGTAGAAAACCTTTATCCAAGCGAGAGATATATATAAACGAGTCAAGCAAAATATAAATCATCCAATTGATTCTCAAAAAATATATATTCAACTAACCACCAAGTATCTAACACATGGACCAGACACATACACACGCACGCACACAGCGCACTCACATAAAAGTGATAACAAGCAAAAAAGAAAAAAGAAATGTACCCCGTCATCGACATTCCCCCCCCATCGCCCTCACCAAAGAGGACCCGTAGCATAAACGGGAGGGAAACTTCCTATCGGGGGTATTCGAAAAAATCTCTCTCCAGAGCCACAAGATCTCCCCCTGTGGAAGAGAATCTTTGGCAACACATCGCTGTGGGATTTTTAAGCAAACGACGGTCGTGGCTGGCTCTGTGAACTTTTTGATGGAGAGAGAAAGAGAGAAAGAAAAAGATTCGAAAGAAGAAAATGAAAATGAAGTTTTTGTAGGTTGGGTGTGGGTCACGTGCCAGTCTTGCGGATATTATTTTCTCCGCCAGATATGGGAACGCTGATTTCGTCATAGGATGAAGCTTTTTTTACGTCTGCAAAAGGGTTGTAGAAGAGGATGATGGGAGACGGTATAAAGAGTATTCCAGATCGTGCAAGCTCAAGTCTATGCATTAATGGGTCTTGTTTCTATCGACGACCCCGATCTATTTGTAACATGGGCGGAAACCAAAAATTCCAGCTCTATAACCCGAACACCCTCCATTTGCGCCCAGTGATAAAAAAAAGCTTCCAGTCTGTTGAACCAAAGAGAAACTAAAGCAGATAAAAAAAAGGATTCAATGTAAACCACACGAAAAACACCTTGCAGAGGACCATCTCTCTGAAACTAACCAATCTGGGCTGAACCCTCAAACCAATAAACACCGATATTCGCCTTGTTCTCCAAAACCTATCCATAGTACAGAGTCGAGGTAGTTGACAATACTAAGCAGATCGCTTTCTTTTTTTATACATATGCGGACACAAGGGCGCCGGTCGTATGCTAAGCCATTGGGGAAAGTCGAGAATTGTAAAACTGCGGTTGCGATGTCTTTTGTTCTTCAATGTAGGGTTGACGACAGACCAGCAGGTAAGATGGAGATATCGTGCGAGGTTTATTCAACCTGTGAATTGTAGTAGGGGTATGTATGGGTATGTATGACGCGGACAATCTATACGACAACCTATTTCATCGTATGTTAGCAACTGACGATCAATAAAATCTAGGCAGCATAGTGCGCTGACGGACCTTAGACACGTAATTATACTATGATTCCTCTCACTCGATATCCGATGCCTGGCCTTCCGACTTCCAGAACCCTCCTCCCACAGCCTTGGATATACCTAAGCCGATGCCAACCATCCCGCCCACAACCACAACTGCAATGATCAATTTGACCGCAAGCCTTTGGCCTTTGGTCAAGCCCCTAAGGCAGTTCAGCGCCCGGTGTTTCGTGGGCTTCTTCTGATTCCATCCCGACAATCGATGGCAATTGGCAGCCATATCGCCCGACATCCTGATACGAGTGCCGGCCTCGAGATCCTGGGAGCATCCCCGTCCAAATTTAGTTTCAGACTTTAGTTGTTCGAGGGATGTTCGGGTGGTTGGGTGTCTGTAGAAGGGGGAGTAAGGTTTTGCATCTAGCGATGGGTCGAATTCTTCTTCTGCCGGAGTTGTTGGGGATAGAGACTGGGCGGTTCTGGTAGGTGATAGACCACCTTGAGAGGAGGTGAGGAGTGACCGGCCTTCGGTCGAGTATGGGTCGGGTATATTGATAGTTGGAGGCGGCGGGTTGGTGACGTGTGCGCCAGAGGCGTCCTTCTCTGGAACCGACATTGTGGGCGGTTAGGTAGTCGGTGTGAGGTTGGATATTTCAATACTTGGGTATCGAAATGCGATACGAATTGTTTGAGGCGTTGATATGTTCTTGGTTCTCCCAGCCCTTGACAGTGTGGGAAGTATGGTCAAGCTCGAGGGAACAAAACGACCAGTACGCAGGATAAGACCGATCTGATCTCCCTACAAGACTGAATCGCTGAACCCCGTCTTGCCTTCAACAGGGCCCGTGGATAAGAGTTTAAAACCGCAATCGGAGGATCGATGGGATAATCTTGAGATAATGGATGTAAAAGTGGAAGAGGGATAGAGGATAGAGCGAGAAATTCGACAGATCGATTCGAGGCTTCGAGGTTTCAGGGAGAGAAAAGGAGGAGGAAGAGGAAGAGATGATGTCCTTATGACGGTCAGTTCAATAGTTGTTACTTCCTCGTTCGATCGTCACCCACTCACTTAAACAATTGGAGCAGGTCCAACCAATTAATGGATCACCGGTTTCAAACAAGAAACACCAAGTGGCTGTCAAAGCGTGGACGAAAGGATAAGGTGATATTCGTCGTAAAAATGTCAGGAAGACAAGAGCAAAGAGGGAGAGAAGAGAGTCTGTCGTTGCGAAATCCGATTGTCTGGGAGTGGGAATAATATGGAGAGGGTTTGGCGGGAATCTGCTTCAGGAAATTCAAGCTCTCTTTTAGTCTGGGACTTGCGAGGAGCGGCGGTTAATCCAGTTCTTTTTTACGAGAAAAACTCCGTTGAACGGGGGGCGTCGTTGGAATTGGAGAGTTTTAAGCACTATTTGAGAGTTGTCTATCATGCCTATCCCGAAAGGGTTAAAGAGAGACACGGGGTATCACGAAGTGACATTTATGATTTCAGGGTCTATCCAACTGCAGGGAGTTCTCACGATCTGGATGTATCTGCTGAATATCTATCTCTTTTCTTCTCGTCGATGTCCATATGATCTAGAAGAACTGCTCAAAGACACCCGTCCTACTTAAAACCCTGAAATGATAGAACACAAACACCTTGGTGCAAGTTCTCCGGGGAAAGAGAATGCGACCCCATTGTCCTCTGTCCCACACTCGGGCCTTGCCAAACCCAAAACTTGTTGGATCTCTTGGTCAAAAAGAAAAATAAGAAGGAAAAATGAAATAACGGGGGGAAAGGCGGGCGTTGGGTTTGGCTTCCAACCAAGACGCAAAACCGCAAAGGAACAGGTCATGATGATGTTGATAGGTTGAAACTCTCTCAGGGGCACCGCGGTCCGCGCCACAGGGAAGATCTCATCACATTTCTTTTGCCGGAGGAATAACTGCAGGAAGCACAGCATCGGCAACCTGCAAGTATTCCTGAACGGGCTCGCAGGTGGGAGGATTCAAAAGAGACATCTTACCCCCCTTCGTACGACATGCGCTCGCCAGTTCAAGACTTTTTGCGGAACTCCGATGGAGAGTTCTTTCTCTGCTCGACGTTCTATCAAGGAACTAGCCACAGACAAGGAAGCGAGAGACTCAAGGTTGAACCCTGGGAAGAAGGAACTTTTTGTCTCCATCGGCCGATGAAAATTTCTGGTTTGGCCAATTGACAACACGCTTGCCCCTTTTCGAAGGATCCTCTTCTGCAGCCCAGAAGGCTAAGAATGCGGGAGAGACAACGTGTGAACTTGCTTGGGCTGTCGATGAGATCTGGGCTTGTTGACTTGTTGGGCAAGAGATTTCACCTGCTCTTGTCGAAAATTTCCTTCGCGCCGACTCTACTTATCTTAACATCGTCCTTCGGTGCGCCCGATAAGAACAATCTCTTTCTGAAGAGGATTTAATCTGCCTGCAACATGCCAACATGCAACAGTCGTAAATGAAAGCGTTCAAAAGGGCCCAAGCCACAGGCCCAGATTGTTTATTTGCCACCGACACAGCATTGCATCGAATCCCCGTCGTTGTCGGAGGTTAAAACATGAACATCGCTCGCCCCGATCCCAAATTGAACTAATTTCAGGCCCAGAGTTTATCCACGACAGCATGGTTTTTGGGGGGAGGAACTTTATTCAAACCCATGCAAGAGACAGATAATAGATAATCTCTATCGATAACCAAAACAGCACTCGATTGCGCTTCGGGAGACAGAAAGCAATCCAGACACACAAACCAAACGCCGACAGATACATAAACCGTCTTTGTTATCTCTCAACTCTCACACGGAAGAACCGTTCGACGGTGACCTGTTCCTTTACCCGGAATCCTACCATAAATCTTGCTTTTCGCCTTTCACCCGAAGATCCTACATCACTTGAGCTATTATTATTTCTTATCTGCCTCATGCAATGCTCCAAGCCTTATTACAAGGGCGATAACCTGTCTAACCTATCCCATCCCAGCACTTAATTCAGATCAGTGTCTCAACTTCCACCAAGGAATGGGCTTTTGATTACGAGGGGTAAAAGGTGTGATATTTTTGGGGCCTGCGAGGAGAAAGACTCCGAGGAACGTGGCCTGGTATATCATCGAAATAACCCCAACACTGCCAATTCGAAAACAACCTCGACAATAGTGGGGGTTGTGGCGCAACGGTAGCGCGCGCGACTCCAGTTCCAATATCTTGGTCATCGCGCGGTTGCAGGTTCGAATCCTGTCGACCTCATTCATTGTTTTTTATTTTTTTTTCTTTCTTTATTCTTTTTTTGCTCTCGTCTTGTTCACTTTTAACTTGAAGCTTGAAGCTAAGGAGGACTGATAAGTTCAAAGTGACGGGGAAAATCTTGGTCCATTGGAATCCTGTCCTGTTCACGGCCCCCCTCGTCTTCCCCTCCTTTTGAAGGCTGATAAGACTGGAGAGGGGCCAGATAACGGGGTCGAGGTGGTGCCCATCTTCTTCCTACAATATCGCGGGGAAATTACCAACATCCCAGTGTTTCAAGTTACTATGCAAGGTGTATCTATCTCGTGGATTCGAATTGCCTCAAGCTGACGCGAACTTTTAGAGTGAATCTTTGCCTGTCGGTTTCCATCAAGTAAGAAAAGTAGAAAAGAACATTCATTCATTTATTAAAATACTTATAGCTCTAGAATTTTTAGGTCAAACCAACCCTTTCCTATCTCTTTCTTTCCCCTCTAACACCTATTTTGTGGAAAATAAAAACACCATTACCCCATCTTACATGCCCAAAGCCAGCCAAGGCTCACTCACTTACTGAGCGAAATCCTCCCTCTTAATCCCACTCCTATCACACATCCCCCTGAACACCCCTTCCCCAGCAGACCCCTCCCACAACCTAATCGGCGTATCCAACTCCGCAATCCTCCCCTGATCCATCACACAGATCCGGTCGTAGTGTATAATCGTACGCAGCCGATGCGCGATACAGAGTAATGTCTTCCCCTTAAACACCGTGGCCATGGTCTGTTGGATCTTCTGATCTGTCTCGAAGTCTACGGAAGATGTAGCCTCGTCGCAGACGATGATGCGTGAGTCGCGGACTAGGGCGCGGGCGAGGGCCATTAGTTGGCGTTGGCCGAGAGAGAAATTTAGACCTTCTTCATCGACGGTCATGTCGAGGTGGATGCGTTGGTGGCGGTGGTGGGTAGGTTGGGTTGGGGATGGGGCGGGTTTTTCGTCGTCAGCTTCGTTGGTTCCGTTGGCTGGTGGTGATTCTTCTTCTTCGTCGACGAGGTCGGCTTTTCGAAGGGCGGACCAGAGTTCTAGGTCTGTGTGTTCGTTGAATGGGTCTAGGTTTGAACGGACGGTGCCTCGGAATAAGGCTGGGTCCTGTGGGATGATGGCCAGACGGGAGCGGAGGTCGTGGAGACCGATGGTGGCGATGTTGACGTCGTCGATTTTGATGCTTCCACCGCTGAGTTCTGTGAGGCGGAACAATGCAGACATGATACTTGATTTTCCGGCACCGGTTCTTCCGACTATTCCAATTCGCTCTCCACCGGCGACGTCCATGTTCAAGCCACGGAGGACTAGCGGGAGACCAGCGCGATAGCGCATCTCGACGTCTGTGAATGAAATGCTTCCTGTCTGTGGCCAGCTCTTGTCGACGTCGGCGAGGTGGAGGGGCGCTTCCTCTTCGATTTGCGTCCCGTAATAGTGTAATCTTTCGGTCGAGTTCATGTCATTTTCCATCTCTGCGAGCTGACGGACTGTAAATTGGAACATCTGCACGGTGGCAAGGATATATGAGAGAACTAAACCGGAGATACTTGGTGAGACGTTGAACCGCGACGTGACCACCAGTATACCGGTGACAAGAACCATAGTAGTCCCAACAGCGTCCAGCCGAAGACCAAGCCATCGCTGATTCGAGAAGGTAAGGAAATATGCGCCGTTCATCTCGTCAATTGATTTACGCAGCTGGCTAACGAACCGGTCCTGTAACCCGTACGCCCTGATGGAAGCGGTCCCTGATATGCCCTCGCCAAATTGGGAAAACACTGAAGAGCGTAAGACTGCTTCGTGTCGTTTAAGTTCCCGCGCCGAAGCCCGGTAATAATTGGAGGCAAAGATGAATAGGATAAAAAGGGGCCCGAGGGCAATGGCGAACTATTTGCAATGGTTAGTTACCGAGCTTAGCACGTGGAGCGGGTGTAGGACTCACATAGTGGAAGAAAACGATAATCAAAACCATGACGGTGATGATCATCGTAAGAACGAGGAAGTATATACGCATGGAGTCTGCCAACTTATTATCCATGGTATGCACATCCTTTGAGAAGCGATTTGTGATGCGACCAAGCGGCGTAGTATCAAAGAACGACATCGGGGCCCGTAAAACTCGGGTCATGGCGCGCTGCAGCATAGTTTTGCTAGAGTTTGTCCCACTGGTCGTCAGAATCGTGGAAAATGAGAACATGAGAAGCACTTGGAGCCCCCCTAGGCCAGCATATATGCCAATGTACTGGCCCTGGGAGAGATTTTCGAAATTGTTTGACGTCCAATATGATAGCCAGAGGTTAGTCATAACGTTGGCTCCGTTGGCTAGGAGAAGAGTGATCCCGATCAATGGCCAATTGAGGATGAATCCTGCCGCTGAGATATATGCTCCCCATACGCTCCAGCTCACGGAGTCGACAGCTCTCTCTTCCTCTTGCATCAAAGCAGCAGCTTTCTTCTGCTTCTTGGATTTTTTAATTTGCTCCTTTTCCTTCCCAACCTCGGGCTCATCCTCGTCAGAATCGTCTTTCTTCTCATCTTCCTCCTGGGATGTGGTAGTCATTAACCTTTGGAAGACCTCGCTGTCTTTCATGAGGTTATCGAACGTGTCAATTGATTCTATACGGCCCTCGTTCATCACAATAATCCGATCGCATCGGCTGAGAATGTGAAGCTGGTGAGTGGCGAGGATTCGACATTTATCTTTGAGAAGTCCGCAGATCGCGTTGTCCATGATATGGCGGCCAACATGGGCGTCAACAGCGGACAATGGGTCATCCATAAGAATAACATCAGCATCGAAATAGATTGCTCGAGCGACGTTCATCCGCTGCTTTTGCCCACCGGAGACTGTGATCCCTCTTTCACCGATTTCCGTACTATCGCCAGCTGGAAGCATCTCAAGGTCAGCTTGGAGTGCGCAGGCCTCGATAACTTGTTTATACCAATCCTCGTTGTATTCTTGGCCGAAAAGGATGTTATTTTTGACTGTTGTGTTTTGGATCCATGCGTATTGCGGACAGAAAGCTCGTGATGAAACACCCATCGAGATCGACCCGTCTGTCATCCGCATATCTCCAGCAAGTGCTGAGAGTAGAGAACTCTTTCCACAGCCAACGGTACCGATGACGGCTAGAAGTTCATTTCGGCCAGCAGTGAACGTGAGGTTGTCAAGATGGAACGGGTTCACCTGGGTAAGGCTGCTATCGCTGTCGCTAGGAGTCTTGTCACCCTTCTCTCCTTGATTATTATCCACCTTTTGATTTTTCGAGCCCTTGGATTGGTTTTGTTTTTTTTTCTCGTCCGAATCGGGCGTGCGTTCCCAAGTAAAAGATGCATTGTCAACTTCAATGGCGTTAGACATGTCTTTTTTCCAGGCGATATCATCACTTTGTTCTTCTGCGAGAAAGAATTCCTGAATACGAACAAAAGCTGTCCATGCGTCCGTAACCTGGCTGATGACGATCGGTAGCATGTTCAATGGCATGCGGAGGGAATTAAAAAGAGCAAGGGATGAGAAGATAGGGGCTGGGGTTAGCACGTGCTGCGAGAGAGAGTAGGTAATGAACGCCAACATGGAGGCGAAGATCGGGAGGGTCATGGATACGCAAAGAATGGCATTGCGGATAGACAACAGAATCTGAATAGAGTAGATCTCCCGTTTTCGGATGTTCTTTAATCGGTCGAGGAAACTGCTCTCCCAGCCAAAATACTTGACAAACCTGACGGCCTGAAGAATTTCCTGGGTCAAGGAGACGCGCTGATCGGTGATCTTGTTGATACTTCGTCTTCGGATAAGGAGGGTTCTGATCGCGTAACCAAGTAGCGGGACACCGAGGACCAAAAGAGCGTACCCTGAAAGAGCGCTGTATCCAATATTGACGACGAGTACGACCAGGGTGATGATGATAATGACGGGAGCTGTCCACAGGATATGGAACATCCCGCAGGCCTGATCGATACGGTCGGCATCAACACTCATAAGAGTGATGATTCTACCATTGCTCCACCCAGAGCCGTCACCCGCGATTCCCGGTGCGATATCCGGGGTCACTCTCGGGCCTGTCTTGGCAGCTTTCTTCTTGTCGAACATGCTCTCCAACAGTCCATCTCTCGCAGACTTCAGCAACGTAGGTTCATCATCAGCCTCCTCTTTCCCCCGATAATCCTCAATAGCTTTTCCACCGGATTTTGCGCGGCCGGATAACCTCATCGCCTTGGAAAAGATCATATTGATAAGCACGGCTTTCGTTTGCCCACCGACCAGCATACCTCGGTACATGAATTGACTCGTCCCTATACACTGCAATATTTGCATCAAGGTAATCCCGATAGCAATCCCAAGACCATTACCGATATTAGGACCTGGCGTATGGTTGTGCTGAGCATCCCAGGCATCGGTAGCGAACTGGATCAGGTACCTGGTGGTGAACGGCGACATAACTTGAAGAACACTGGCGAAAAACTGGCAGATACCACCGATCCAGAATTCGACCTTAAACGTCTCATAAGTTGCCCATAGTAAAGGATAGCGGTCTCCGCGTGCCACTCTACCCTTGAAGGATGCTTCGAGCTTGGAAGTCATCGTCTCGCAAGCTCTGTCGGGGTTCACGAGCCAGATATCTTGCAGTTCTAGTCGCCGTAGGTAACCGGTCTGGAAGCCCAGTCAGCCCTTGCCACTGTAGAGTATACATGAGTAAGTAAATTGAACTCACCGTCATTATAGACGACATCCATTGGAACGTCACGACGCTGAAAAACCCGGCTCCATATTCCTTCGATACCTGTCTCTCCTCCGGAACTGGGGGAATCCGACGTAGTCTGAGAGGGTTTATTTTCCGATACCATTTGGCTTTCGGTTGAGGTTTTGCGGGAGCCATGCTCTCGGCATCATTCGTCGTCACTGTCTCTGAGCGATATATAGGGCTGTCATCCTGTTTGTCGCCAAGATCATCGGCCACGGTAAGGTGTGGAGTCTCTTTCTG